CTGGGGAATTCTGGGAGTTGAAGTCCACCCCTCTGAAAGCTGCCAAGGTTGAGAAACACTGCTAATCCCATGAAACTCAACACCCCTACCATCCCCCTGCATCTGGTCCCTCCCCACAACCCAGCTCAAGAACCCAAGCATGTACATTTTTCCTACCTAGAAGGGGTGAGAACATAGCTAGGACTGAGTGGAGCTCAGGGCGAAGTTACAATCCCTGCTTGATTATCATGATACTGGAACAAGGGCTTCTTGTGGGCCACAAAATTCTGGTTTATAATTCTGGGTGGGGCTGGGCCCCCCATGGGCTTCAGGGGTCCCAGTCTCTGTGCCCATTGAGGCCTCTCTTCTTTGCAATTTCCCCCTTTCCTAGCTGACAGGCATGTCTGTCCTAGTGGAATGTCTGTCTGCCAAGTATTTGTGCATTGTGACACCAGCCAATGGGGCTCCTGGATTGTTGGAGAGTAGAGGGAGTCAGCAAAGGGTCAAAAGGGGGTACAAAGAAGATGGGGGCTGGAGGAATGCCACTGTCCAGCCAGGAGGGCCGTTCTCTGATGTCACCGCTCAAATATTTTTAGGTGGTGGAGCTCACAATCTGGAAACTATAAGCATTTGTCTCCGATCTAAAGGGATGACAATATTCCAAGCAAGGTAGCTCTTCTGCCTGTTGGAAAAAATGCAAAGGATCCCTTAAAGTAAATTTCCTCTTATTGCTGCCAGACGATTCAGGCCACGTTGTCACTGGAAAGCTAAAACCGATTTATGTGCTTTATTATCTCAAAATGTACATGATGCAAAATGCCCCAGAACACTCTGTCATAAAAGTAGATAGATAAATTATTGTGGTCAGATGAACAAAAAGGCAATCTATAGTTTTCTTCGCAAGGTACTTGGGAATGCCTATTTAAGGAGAGGTTTTTGTCGGTGCTTCAAATCCCGCTAGAAGAGAGGTTGGCAACCTACGGCCCATGGGCTGCATCTGGCCCACCGCCTGAAATCATCCAGCCCGTAGTCCCAAAAAGAAATATAATATCCCCCCGGCTTGCAGTGATTCTAAAAAATAATTCAAGTTTGTAATTCCGTCTTAGACCTGATGTAGAACTGCACTGTTTTAATAAACTGTAATGATTTGGATGATGTAATGAGCCTGTATATAGCTATACGTATGTGTTTATAGTGTACCTTCAGTTACTGAGGTCTCTTCCTCCTCCCTCCATCATCTTTCCCCAACCGCAAGAGGCATTCCAAGACTCTGCAGACCATGATGCCCTCTTTTCCCCTTTGGCCACCCCCCCTTTTTTTCCCCTTAAGAAAGAAACACATGCTGGTCCGTGGTTCGTCCCAAGTGCTGGTGTATTTGCCCAAGACAGGGTAATGCAGACGTGGCCGTTGACCCGTTTGCGGAGGAAGGTTGCTGACCCCTGCTCTAGAAACTCAAACAGCGCTCAGGAGCTAACAGAAGAGACAAGGCTCGGCCAAATGAATTACTTTTATTGCAGATACTAGATGCCCTAATAACAAAAAAGCTCTATTTATAATAGACCTATAGTTGAAGTTTTCATGTTTCTTTCTTCTGCCCTTACATGGTAACAGACATTCCACTGCTTGTTTCGTGGCCTTGGATGGGGTTTGGATAATGGTCCTGTCCAGTGCCAGCTCAAGGGTATATGGTGCCCGCAGGCTACGTTGACTGATGGCACCACCTCCCACTGATGAAAAGATTTGCATCTTTAGAATGATTTGGAAGGAGGGTGGCGTTGGCATCCCCTAAGCTTTGACACTCTAGGCCAGTGCCTGCTTAGCCATAGTCTAAAGCTGGCTTGGTCATGTCTGGCCTCAAGTTCTTTTGCTTCCAGCTTTGCAGGCTTCAGCCCTCACAGGTTTAAACAGATTTAAATCCTGTGTCTAGATCAGTGTTTCTCAACCTTGGCAACTTTAAGATATGTGGACTTCAACTGGGGAATTCTGGGAGTTGAAGTCCACATATTTTAAAGTTGCCGAGGTTGAGAAACACCGGTCTAGATATACCAACTGAAAGGCAAGGCAAAGATCTAGCACTGTGTTTCTCCACCTCAGCAATTTTAAGATGTGTGGACTTCAACACCCAGAATTCCCCAGCAGTGCTAACCATGAGGGAGGGAGCATCACTTGTGCCTTCCTTCATCAGGTGAGTGACTTACTTGTTGCAGATGGCTCCAGCATTTTGTGAGCTATGACAGGACAATGAAGTGACAGGCAAATGCATCCCCAACAGGGCTGGTGCCATAGAGAAGGCTCAGAAGATGGATCTTGAGCCTTTTCCATGGGTTTCCAGCCTAGGGAATGATGCGCTGCTCTGTCCAATGGACTCTATTTGTTCTTAATCTTTATGTGCTATGCTCTACAACAGTGTTTCTCAACCTTGGCCACTTGAAGATGTGTGGACAACTCCCAGAATTCCTTGCTGGCTGGGGAATTCTGGGAGTTGAAGTCCACACATCTTCAAGTGGCCCAGGTTGAAAAACACTGCTCTACAACGATAGTTGTGATGAGCATGGGTTTGTGCCTATAAGGATGTCATGGTGGCAGCAGCAACAGTAGGTATCACTGCCTGTGTTACTAGAAATTTGGACTGGGGAACTGTGGCATCTCATTATGTACCATGAGGCAAGGGATGTCCAGGGGTGCGTCTCCACAAGATGATCTCATTGGCTCTTAGCAACATGAAGTACCTTCATGGAACTGCAGCTAGTTTTGAGGCCTTTGCAGATTTTCTGGATGGGGAGATTTCATTTTTTTTTTTTTTTTAGAAAATAGGACCCAGTGGTTATTCTTTTTGCATCTCCTATGGGATAAGGGTAGTATAGTAGCATTTTCCTGATGTCCTCCAGATGTCTGAACTTCAGTTCCCGGAATTTCTAGCTAACGTGGAATTCTAGAAGTTGATCCAACTTGTCTGAAAGATGTTAGATGAAGTGTAAGACTACAGTAGAAGATTTCCCTGCCATATGAGCCCTCAATTTCCCATAATTGTGTTAAGCATGATACTACTCTACCAACTCACCTGAGAAACTTGGAACCATTTATCTTCTCTTTTAATTGTCATTTCACCTGCTGGCAGTAGGAGAAGAGATGTGACACCAGGATCTTCAGTTCGCCTCCTTTTCTCTTCCCTCCCCTCCTCCTTTCTCTTCGATGTCGTATTTTTAGATCGCAAGTGTGAAGGGGTCTGCTTTTTCTAAATCAGTGTATAGCATTTAGAACCCTTTAGATACTGAACAATTAAACAGTAAAAAACACTAGCAGCCATAGAACGAATACAACAAATGGCATCAGGAATTCTCCAGCTGTTAGCATCGAGAAGCCCAAGTATTATGCAGCAGATATAGTCTAGCCAAATGGAAAGCTATTTTACAACTAATTTTTTCTAATGGCATAAAAACTGTCCTGCTGAATGCAAATGGACATTAACAGCTGGGCTTTATCGTATGCTTATTTTTCCTTGGATAAATAGGAAGTTACTGCAGTGTTACATTAAGATAATCTAAACTTTCATTTAAACTTGCAGGTGTGGTTCTGTCTACCAGGAATGCTTTAGACCAGGGTTCCTCAACCTTGGCAACTTTAAGTCGGGTGGACTTCAAC